TTCTTTCCCATTCATCCCTGAGATCCCACATTAAATTTTAAGTAGGGGCTGGAGAGATGGCTCAGCATTTAACAGCACTGGTTATTCTTCCTGAGGACCCAGGTTCAAGTCCCAGCACCAACATGGCAGCTCACAAATGTCTGTAACTTTAGTTTCATGGGATCTAATACCCTGACTCAGATAAACATTCAGGCAAAACAAGAATGCACATAAAATAAAAATAAACACACATTTTTAAAAACATAAGTAACTTTAAATGTCACACAGTTTTAAAAGGCCCACAATGGAACACAGTAAAATTTCACTCAGAGGTTAAGAGTACTGGCAGATCTTCCAGAGGTCCTAAGTTCAACTCCCATCAATTGCATGTTGGCTCACACCAGCTATAATGAGAGCTGGAGCCTTCTTCTGACATTCAGAAATACATGCATGCAGAATACTATACATAATAAATAATTCTTTTTAAAAAATGAAGTCCTGCTGGGAAGTGGAAATGGTGGCACACACATTTACTGCCAGCACTCAGGAGACAGAGACAGATGGACCCCTCTGTTTTTAAAACCAGTCAGATCTACAGAGTGAGTTTCAAGCCCGCCAGTACTACACAGAGAAACCCTATCTCAACAAACAGAAAAAATAGTCCCCTTATCATATCCAGTCTGTTTTCAAACCCAAACAATACTTTTAAACATTTGAAATCTCTCAAGTGTGGGCTCCTAAAAAATTAAAAATTAGCTTAAATAATCCCTTACCTCTAGAGGGAAAGGCCCTAGGCAAAGTCTCTACTGACAAATAAAATCCACTTTCCAACTGTCTAATAGTTCCATTTCCAATGTCTAGATCCACTTACTATCTTCTGGGATTCTCCAAAGGGCTTGGGTCACTTCTTCAGCTCCATCCTCTGCAGCACACACAGCTTGCCTTCCAGGCTCAGGATGGCTCCACTCTATAGCTGCTGCTGCTCTTGTCAGTCACCCCACAGTACTGACATCTATGGTGATATTTTATTTGTACTGAAATGTGATTTGTATGTTAAGAAATAAAGTTTCTTGAGGGTCAGGGATATAAGCAAGCTGTAGCATAAGCTGGGGGTTGGTGGCACATGCCTTTAATCCCAGCACTTGGTAGGCAAAGCTAAATTGATCTGTGTTTTCAAGGATACAGCCAGCAATAGAGACACACACCTTTAATCTCAATTCCAACCATAGAAGACCTGGAGGTCTGTACAGACAGGCAGTGACTAAGAGGTCATATGGTTTGGATTTACAACCAATGAAAAGGCAGAACAAAAACTCTATAAAAAACGACAGACACAGGAAGTAACTCTCTTTCAGGGAGGTACAGCAACAGTGAAGGGTAAGGTTTTTAGCTCTTAGCTATTGCTTTCACCTCTTGGTTTTCATCTCTGTATTGTCTATGTGTTTCTTATTTTAAGACGATTGGTTACATCTACAGACATCAACCACAATGCTGGGTCTTTGCTGCAACATGGCTGCACTTTCATCAATGCCTCTCATAGACTCTCTTCATGGTTCCACGTCTCAAATTCTCTGTGTGACTCCTTTAATTTTGGACCTTCAACTGCTAGTGTACCTCTTCCTTCACCAATTGCATCTCCTGGATTCTCACAGTGCCAAGCCTCAGCTGGAATCCATGACCAAATCATGCCTTTAAAATCAGTAACACCTGGGTGTCTCACACCACCAAATTTGACTGCCAGCATGAAATACAACTGCCTCTGGGACACAGCACCCATGTGCCCTCAGGAACCACTTCTCAGAAGATTTCAACTCAGCAATGCTGGCCTCCTCTTTTTTTCCCCCATTGGTTTTTTTGAGACATCATTTCTTAGTGTAGTTTTGGTGCCTGTCCTTGAACTTGCTCTATAGCCCAAGCTGTTCTTGAACTCACAGAGATGCGCCTGGCTATGCCTCCAGAGTGCTGGGATTAAAGACATGCACCACCATCACTGTGGACTTTTCTTAATCACCACTAATTTCTCAACTCCAGTCAACCAGAATCCAGTATCTCAGTAACACAAAGGTTTCACTTTAGCAGTTCAGATATTTTGTTAATCAAAGCTGATTATTCAGTTCCAGATAACCAGGACCACATAATCTTAATTCAAAATAACAAATGGCTCCAATAGAGCCTTTAAACTTCCCTCTGAAATTTCACAAGCCATGTTCCCTTCTTCTGCATCACTGAATAATGTGCTCAACATTATTATATTCCAAGCTACTACAGAACAGCTTGCTGTTCCATAAACACTAAATGGATTTTCTTATTCAATGTTTCAAAGTCCTCCAAAGTCCTCCTACAAAACAACATGGTCAGGTCTGTCAAAGCAAGACCCCACTGCTGGTACTAACTTGTCTTAGTTGGAATTTCTATAGCTACAATAAAACAACATGGCCAAAAACTAAGCTGTAAAGGAAAAGGCTTATTTTGCATACACTTTCACATTTGAGTACATCATTGCAGGAAGCCAGGACCAAAATCAAACAGGAAGTGAGGAAGACGCCATGGAGAGGTGCTGCTTACTGCCTTACCCAGTCTACTTTCTTATAGAACTCAGGACCACCAGTGTAGGTATGTCAACACCCACTTTGAGCTGGGTCCTCCCATTCAATCACTGAATAAAAAAAAGCCCTATAAATGGATCTCATGGAGACATTTTCTTTCAAGAGTGTGGGAGGCTTTAAGACAGAGTTTCTTTATGTAGCCTTGGCTATCCTGTAACTAACTCTGAAGACCAGGCTGGCCTCAAACTCACAGATATCTGCCAGCCTATGCCTCCCAAGTGCTGGGATTAAAGGTGTGCACCACCACTGCCAGCTTAAAAACATTTTCTAAATTGGGGTTCTCTCCTCTCAGATGACTTAAGCTTGTGTCAGATTGACAAAAAACTATCCAGTGAGGGGTCCTTGAGCTGAAAGGAGAAGTGGACACAGGCTTCATTCCTAAGCCAGAAGCAATATCCAGTTGATAGCCAGCTGCTAATGAAAGCTTAGTTTCCACCAAGGGAGTCTCACTGGTGTTTCAACTATTCTGAAGGATAGAATGTATGTGCTACAGTGGATGACCAACAGAAAATTAACTCAGTGGCATCTTTGGATGTTTCTTGTCTCACAATATCATTTCAAGATGCTTTCTTTTTTTGTTTGTTTATTTCTTTGTTGTTTTAATCTTTTTTGTTTTGTTTCATTTTGTTTTGTTTTCTCTTCTTATTTTTTTCTTCTCTCATTTTACCCTATAAGGTACTTTGAGTATGGACAATGGCTACCACTTTACAGTTTTAATGGGATTGAGAATGTGCAACCAAGTGGGTCTCTGATTTTGTGACTTTCCTTCTATTTGTTTGTTTTGTTCAATATAATGTGTTATTTTTCTTTTATCTTAGTGTATTTTATTTCACTATTATCCCATAAAAGTCTGTTTATTTTCTAGTGATAGGCAGAAAAGGTTTGGATTCTGGTGTGTGTGTGTGTGTGTGTGTGTGTGTGTGTGTGTGTGTGTGTGTGTTGTGTTGTGTTGTATATATGTATGTGTGTTGAATGTATTGTTATGTGCATGTGTGTGTATAAGAGGCCTTGGAGGCCCAAAGAGGGCTTTGATCCCTTGCAGCTACTGTGACAGGTGTGTGTGAACTACATTTTATGATGTCTGTGTATTGAACTCTGCCAATTTACAAGAGCAGTACATGAGTTTTTCTGCTGAGATATCTCTCCAACATCTGCAATATTCTACATTAACTGTTTATTGAAACATCCTGTTCAATCCTAAGTTCTACTTCTCTAATTCCCAGGATGCATCAAGATTTTCTAGTCTTCCCCCTACAAGGGGTAGTATTGTGTTGCCTTCATCTGCAAACATGAGGTCACAAATGTTCTTCAATTTCCCCAATAATTAATTGCTGTTAAAGTCTTACATTCACTAAGATATCAAAAAGAAACCTCTGAGTTACATATTAGAGACAAGTAGAACAGTTCCACTCTTCACTAATATCCAAAAGCCAAGTCCTGTAACAATAGGTGGCTGAGTGGAAGTTTATGGGAGACAATATAGATAAAAGTAGTATACATGACACTGATAAGCAACACCATTAGAAGAAACAGTGAGAGTCACTAGCTAATGAATAACCTTGCATTGTATCCTAATAGTTGGTTCTGTACCAACATTACATTTGTCAGTTAAAATTTATGACATGTGAGTTGTGGAAAATGTTTTTTCTCTTAACTTTTGTAGAGAATTTCTCTCTTGTCTTAGCAAAATGATATAGCACTTGGGTACAAAGATGCATCCCAGCAAGCCAGCACTGGAGGCTAAGATGGAGAAGACCTCCACAGCCACCATGACCTTGCCCTTGGTGCTGTGGTAAACAGGGAGAAATGTGACCCACACACTGCAGAACAACAGCATGCTGAACGTCAAGAATTTGGCTTCATTGAATGTGTCAGGGAGATTCCTGGGCAAGAAAGCCACAGTGAAGCTCCCCAGGGCCAGAGAGCCCAGGTATCCTAAGACAGAATAGAAAGCAGTTACTGAGCCCTTGTTGCACACAATGATGATGTGGCCATGCTCAGAGTGTGCATCAATGTCAACAGAGGGAGGAGATGTTCCCAGCCAGATTGCACAGAGAATAATTTGGATGGTGGTGCAGATAGGAATGAGGTAGGTTGGCGCCCCTGATACCAGGAGCCACTTCATCCTTCTTCCAGGAGTAGTGACTTTGAAAGCCAAAACCACAGTAATTGTCTTGGCCAACACAGTGGAAATAGCCACAGTGAATGAAACTCCATATGTTATTTGCTGCAGAATGCAGGTGACTGAGTTGGGATGGCCAATGAAGAGCAAGGAACAGAGGAAACAGAAGATGAGGGAGATGAGCAGGATGTAGCTGAGAGTGAGGTTATTAGCCTTCACAATGGGAGTGTTTTGGTGCTTCACAAAGATCCCAAGAACCAGAACGGTGAATGCAGAAAAACACAAGGCCATACAGGACAGAGTCATCCCCAAGGGGTCATCAAAGGCCAGAAAGGTCACATCTTTGTAGAGGCAGTGGTTCTGCTCTGCATTGGCATAATGGTCTTCTGGACACTTCATACATTGATCCATATCTGAAACACAAAGCAAAAGTATTGTTAGTGCAACTTCAACATTTCTTTTGGAAAGGCCACGTCAGTGTATTTTGGAAACTTTACAACATCCACATACCTTATTGATAAAGATATAATTGACACTTTTCTGAAAAGCAATGCTTCAATTTCACAGTACCTATCTTCTTCAACAACAAACACAGATCCTATTGATACACTATAACATGAATCTTTCTGTCTGAATTAGAAGTGATGCCCTCATGAGAGATGGAGACATGGTCTTATCCAGGATGAAACACTTATAGTTTTTTTTTATTCCAACATGATCATCAAAAACCACATTGAATCTATTGTGTGTGTGTGTGCAAGTGCATATTATGTGAAAGCAGTAAATGAAAAAGAGCTCATGAGTTTGAGAGTTTTTGTTGCATGTGATGTATGGGAAGAGAATTGGGAGAGAGAGCTTTTATAATGATGTATGAAATTCTCAAGAAAAGTTAATTAAATATGATGCCCTTAGTTGTGTCCTCATTAGGGAACAGGGACACTAAAAAGTTTATAAAATTAAATAATCCTACTATTAAGGTAGAACACTCTATACATATATAACTCCCAAAAGTCTTGTATCTTTTATCAGCACCTTTGTTAACACACAGCACCTACTTCCTTCCCTAATTTCTTTCTACATGAGACCTCCATGGGGACTTTCCCCCTGAGTGTTTGGGGATTGAGGGATAAATGGTTTAGATGGAAATATAGAGGGAAGAGAGAGACAGAAAAACAGGATAGCCTCAGAGGAGCCTAGATCCTTATCCACCAGCCCAGAACTTTATTCCAAAGGGCTTTTGATATCAATTCCAAGGGGGAGGCAAAAGACCACCCCCTTACTAGATACAACTAAATATAATCCCTACCAAACAGCTAGTACCCAGGCCTGAGTTCCAATAATCCTTGTATGCAGCCCTGATTGTAATGCAAGCTCAGTTATCACTAGGAAACCTCTTGTACTCCAAAAGACCTGGGTTCTACTAATGTACTCAATGGTGAAGGAGTTATTGTTAAAACAGCATGAACAAGACAACATAAGAACTCCCAAGTGAGAGTGGTAACACAAAATATTTGAAGTGAACAGTAATACCCCATTCATAAGTTGTAATTTCCACAACAGCAAGTAAGTGAAATATGATTGTAATTGTGGTAAACTGTGGATAATAATGGAAAGCAATGATGTGCTTCCAGGATTTTCAGTCATTTCATGAATAAAACCAACCTAGCATTTGTGGCCAGCTATGATTCCTTTTTTTTGTTTGTTGTTCTTTAAGGGGCTGGAAAGATGGCTAATAGTTAAGAACGTGGTCTGCTCTTACAGGGGGCTATGTCCAGTTCCAAGGACATGTGAAGTGCCATATTACTACCTGTAACTCTAGTACAAAGGGCATCAGATTCCTGTGTTGGCCTTCACTGGGACCTTTCCCTGTTTGGACTTACTACCCTCTATATATGCCTAATTCAAATATTCAAAAACATAAAGTTTTTGTTTATTTTATGTTGGTATTCATTAATATAAATGCCCTTTATACTTATTATCTTAAATCAGTTTTATTACAATATGTTAATTTTTTCACATGTGTGTGCATGGTGTGTGTGTGTGTGTGTGTGTGTGTGTGTGTGTGTGTATGTGTGTGTGTGTAAAGTGCAAGCTGTCAAGAAGGCGTCATGTAGGGGTTGGCTCCATCTCATTTCAATGGGCTTCCTGCAATGAGTTCAGGTCATCAAATTTGTGGCAAGACATTTACCTGCTAAATCTTCTCATTGACCCTAAATATCCTTTTTTTTTAAAGATTTTGTTATTTATTATATATTCAGTGCTCAGCCTGCATGTATGCCTGCACACAAGAAGAGGGCAGCGAATCTCATTATGGAAAGTTGTGAGCCAGCATGTGGTGTCTGGAAATTGAACACAGGACCTCTGGAAGAGCATCACATGCTTTTAACTGCTGAGACATCTCTCCAACTCCCCAAAAATCTTTTTATTTATTTTTTATTATTTAAACTTTTTGGTCTAATGGCTCAGGCTTCTTGCTAACTGTTCTTATATCTTTTTATTTTATAATTTAATTTAATTTTACATATCAGCCACAGATTCCCTTGTTCTCCCCCCTCCCACTCCCATACCTCCCCCCAGCAGACTCCCCATTCCAATCTCCTCCAGGGCCAAGACTCCCCTGTGGTGTGACACCTTGCACAGGCTTGATGCAGTGGGAAGGGGCTTGGACCTGCCTAAGCTCAGTGTGCTGGGCTCCCTGACTCCCCGTGGGGAACTCAATTTGAGGGATGTGGGGATGTGGTGTGCCTTGGGAAAGAGGGATGGGGTGGGAGGAGGGAGGGGGTTTATGGATAATATGTGGAGTGAGTAGAAAATTTCTTAATGATGAAAAATGAAAAAAAAAGAGTGCTTACAGCTCTTGCAGAGAACAAGGGTTTGGACGTAGCATCCATGAGGAAGCTTATACCTGTCTGTAACTCAAGGTTCAGGGGCTTGTATGCACTCTTTTGGCCTCCACAATCTCATGCACAAAAACACATGAATACATACATACATTCAAGGAAGATAAATGAATAACCAAATATTTAGAAAGACTCATGACTCCAATCTAGTCTACATGTAACTTTACAGGGATATACTCATTTGGACAGTATAGTATAGAATTCTCTCACAGGTTTGTTTGATTTTTCAAAACACTTTCTTTTACAAAATACTACCAACAATGATTTTACAGTGAGTCAAGGGTATATGTGAAGGCACAGTTTGTTATTTATAAGGACATTATTATTAATCACATACTTGTAAAATAAAATTAGGAAAGGAATAGATTCTATTTGTGCTGTAAAAGGGCCACAGAACTTAGTAGGTCCACAAACTCTCTCTAGCAAAACTGAATCCATGATAGAAGTACCAGCCAGACTATAAAACTCACCACCTAGCAGCACCACCTACCAAACTGAAGCAAAGGCCTAATCCATCATAGTCTTTATACTTCTGGAAAAGATTCAAAATGTAGTAACTCTGCTTTTTAACTTCTGTTGGATCTGCTTTCAGCTCACTGTTCTTGGTAACTGAAGTATGTCAACCCAGAACATGGTTCTTTTACTTCAAATCTCAACCTGAGAAAGGCTCAGTGCTACACTGTAGTCCTGAACATCAACTGCAGTTGATATCCAGCTAATGATGACTTTATTTGGCTTAAACCTATGTCCGAGGGGTCTTTTCTAGTGAATACCACACAGCAGTGCAGCCCCCTTCCAGGCCCCTTCGAAAGTGCAGTGTGGATAGCAGAATTCAGTCAATCTGAAGGATTTCTCCCTGCAGTCAACACTTACCTGTCTCATTGGAAATCTCATTTTCTGGGCAGGGGGTGCAATCAAAACAGCAGGCTGCCATTCCTTCTTGATGGAATTTTCTGAATCCAGGGTGACAATCAACACTGCACACAGCAGAGGGCATCTGAGGAAAATCAGACAGATGCTGGGCCGGGAGTCTGACTACTCCTTCAGTAGTTATAGCATGTCATCATGTTGAGTAGTTAACAAGATTTCTTTCTATACATTACCTGAGTGAACACATTTCTTTCAGGACTTTGTACAAGACCACACATGAATATATGAGAACAATTGATGAAGTGTTGAGGTGCTTCTGAACTACTAAAAGTTCAGGAAGACCTAGGAGTATATGTTGTGTGACCACTGGAATGCCTGAACTAAACACCCTACCCACACATTGTGTAGCTTAGCTTTGTCAACTTGACACAAAGCAGAGATACAAGAAAAAAGAGAAACTTCATTGAGAAATTGTCTAATTGGTCTTTGGTCATATTGGTGACCAAATTTTTAGTTTTTCATTAATTCTGGGAAGCACCACCACACTTGATTCCATTTCTGAATTTAGTGGAAATGCTTTAAGTTTCTCTCCATGTAGTACAATGTTTTCTTTGTTCTGTTTTTATTTAAAAAACCCTAATTTTGTCAAAAAAAGTCCTTTCTATTTTTCAAATTTGTTTTTTTTTTTTTATTTTTCTTTGTTTGCTTTCTCTGAAGGGATGCTGGACATTGCTCAAGACCTTTTCTCTATCTTTTTCAATGAGCATACAATTTTTATCCTAGCATATATTTAAGTGACATATTATACTTGATTGGTTTGCATATGTTGACCCAACCTTACATCCATGTAATAAAGTCATCTTGTGTATAGGGACTGATCTTTCTGATGTGCTCTTGAGACCTGTTTGCCAGTATTTACTTGAG